GAAAGTAAACAACTGCGCGAAAAAATGATATTTGTTTCAGGGCTACATAATAGCAGAAGTTGGCGTGAAACGAAAACAGATATATGAGTGAAGACAGACCTACAGATAACTACCGGACAATAATTAGAAAAAAAATGCAAACATTGAACATTTTTGCAAGTTCTCTAGAAGCATATATGACAAACAAGTATTGTATTATTATAGATCTTCGAACGCTTCAGGCAAACCCCTGTACTTATTATCTGAGTGCAATTTGATATTGAAGAACTAAAATACACTCAAAATAATTTTTCTGAAGAACAAAACTCCAACAAAATTCTGCGTAATTCAGAAGGTGCCCACGTGACCAAATTTTTTCTCTCCGAAATATTCAAGCGTTGGACTGCTTTTAAACTGCTTTTAATGTAGCAGATCACCGTGATTTTTTTTCCCATACATTAGGATGTTGATAAAATGGCGGGGCGTTCTGTGTTGGAGAGAGAGAGAGAGAGAGAGAGAGAGAGAGAAAGGAAAGAGGCTGTTAAAGAGACTGTCTACCGTCCTTCATTGAGGCACTGCGCCGTGCTCCCGACGGGGCTGCAGAAATTAGGTGCCTTTCTCCTATTCTAACCACAACCCCCCACCCCCTTTTCATTGCTCTCCTGTTTTGTCTCGCAATAAAAAGCGTACCATGTGAACAGTCTAACCTTGCAGCGGTTTCTCTGGAAAGTGCGTAGAATTCTTTAAAACAGAATTTTTCTGTCCGCATTATGTCTGCTTCCATCGGTGGGATGAATTTCCACAACCCTGGTCGATGCCGGTGAAAGTCGAAACCTTAAAGCGCGTGCGGTTTTTGCAGGCTTCATCAAGTTTGGTTATTATTAAAACAAATACCTCAGTGGTCATTTTAGGCACGCACGCTTTTTTTTTTCTCATGAGCGGTGGCAGACGCCATGGTTGTGTCTCTCCGCCGTTTGCAGGACAGGCATGCAGGCAAGTAAACACACCGCCGGTAGCGCCATTAGGTGCCAATTTGTACGCGTGAGAGAGAAAGAAAATTGGTCTCTGGCGCAATACAAAGGTGCCTCAAGTGCATAAAATACAAATTCAAGTTAAACGTCTTTATTTTTAAACAAAATAAGTCTGCCTGCAATGGACTTCGTGTCAAGATTGACCCCATTCGCTGTTGGGTGACGCTAGTGGTCACTTTTTATCGACTTTCAACATCTAGTTAAAACAATGATTCTTTTTTTTCTGGCACGAAAGCATGCTTGTTGCCGCCAATGTGAATGAACGACCTTTTAACTCACGACGCAATCAGAAAATTTTTTCCGAGTGGTAGACAGTCCCTCTAACGATATTCTAGAATTCGGTATGTTACTCAGCATTGCGGTTGGGGAATAAGGGGTCGAAAGAGAGAGACAAATAAAAAGTCAATAAGAACAAGACATGGGTGAGATCCATGAAACAACTTCCGTATCCTATTGACAGTTGTGCCGTGTAATTGATAGCTTCATAATCTATTTACAGTAACATTTTCACAGCAGGAGTGATGAAAGGAATACGACAGGAACAAATTCGATTGTTATACGAAGTAAGGGTAGCAGCTGACTTAGTTGGAGCTTTATCTTGCGTAACTTCACAAAACAGTGGTGTAAGAGATATGGCTTCTCCTATTAACGAAGTATTTTTAGCACTTTTTGTCACCTCAACGTGAAGCAAACGGCTACGAAGGGTAGAAGCCGTCTACTAATATCTACAGAAACAGAACGCACTTCTTTGCCCATTTGATTATTGATCGCATTTGTTGCCCGAGCCACACAGCCACCTCCCCCCCCCCTCTTCCTGTACACCCCTTCGTGATCCGACCGGCGTGTTGCATCTCTGCTTAAGCTGCACTCGTCTGCAGCATTTGCAAGCTTCCGCTCGCATCGCTAAGCGGTGTTATCGATGTGGACTTTATCCAGAACATGACAACGGCGGCAATGAAAAAATGCTCCTCGAGGGTCCTTGTTACTGTATTCGTGATAAAAAGAGGCCTTGCGATGCACCTATCCCCTTCTTTTATTGTCGGAATGGTAGTTTAGATGAGTTTTCAGTAGTTTGTTGTTTCTGCAAGCATAGCAGGAGCACAAGTGAACCACTGACGTCCTGTTTCAGTGCGTCATTTTGCTTTCAACCTTAATGCTGCAAAAAAAAAAACGACGTTTACAATATGTTCCCAGCCGTGTAGCTGAGAAAGTGTGATTACATTATAAAGTATAGGCCCCATTCACATGACCACCATCCCCAACACGAGGCCTGGAATGAGACAGCTGGAACCTTTGTACAGAGGCGTCTTTACGAGTGCATGGGCAAGGCGAACACAGATCACTCCCTTCATATCTGTCTATTTTTCTCAATTCAGTCGAGTCCAATATAGGGTAACAAGTCTATTGAATAAAGATCTCCTTTCCTAGATTTCCTTCGGTTAATTTTTCTTAAGAAGGCTACTGATGCACTGCTCATGATCTGAAAACCTACTGATCTTAATCCCCATAACCTTCTCACTAATTAATTTCCACTAATGTGTTTCTTTTCTGATGCACATGAACATTCTGTGCGTTCCCCTCATCGTTATTATGTTTTTTTACTTTGCCTTCTTTCTAATTTCTAGACGTAGGCCACGAACCAGTTGATATTTCTAACAATCCCCAGGATTACCTGAATTTTTAATCACCTAGCTATCAACAATGTAAAAGATTAGTATCAATCCTTCACATTTATTTCTTTGATGTGCGGAAGCGTAGGCTTCCTTCATTCAGTTACCAGTTTCATTGTAATGCACAGATTCCACATCATTATTTGAATATTCATTTACACTGATGAGGGCGCACAGAGAACTCGTACCGTTTTCATGAATGCCCAATTAAGAGAAAGGGTATTTGTTTAGGATGACGATTTCTTAATCTAACTGGTGCCCTCTACCCAACAACTCCGAATGCAAAATACCATACAACTGAGGTATTAAATTTATCGGTTATGAGTTTGGAAGATTTAAAGGCATTATATTTGCTTGTATATATAATATTATACGATCACGTCCAGGTTTATAAGTACTGCCAGCTCTGTTGCGGATAAGTAGAGTTCACTAAATTTATTTACTATTGAATCTGTATTCAAGGAGAACCCAGCCACTTGTACACACCGGTCGGAGGTTCTTATTCGAAATTGTTCAATTACTGTGCTCACTTTCACGTTATTATGACACACTCTCTAAAAGAATACCGAATACACCCTATCCACGAAATGAACGATCTTTAAGAAGCCTGCTCTAAAGGTTGAACCCGGTAAACATTGAATGCGATGTACATCAACTCGATCAGCATATAAAGACGCGACACGGGTTCACAAGGCCGTGCTGCTTCGGCTGCGCGAGCCCTCGCCACTGTGGCCGCCTCAGTGCTTGTGTTGGGTCCTGATTGCTGACGGCGCTGGCATCTCGCTTCGGTCTCGTGAGCTTTCAACGCACAGTCTTGACGACGAGCCCGCGCTGCAGCCGAATTTCGAGCCTTCTGCGCCGCTGCCTTGGCTTCTTCGGTGTTCATGGTGGAAGCTGAGTAGCAGTATCGAAGCGCCCTGAGTCATGTCCGGTGAAAGAGAAAGGAAGCGTGCGAAGAGGGAGCGTTGTACATATGCGCAGCCTTCTAGCGGTCGCTTATCAATCCAGAGCGCACGCCGAGACTGGAACCTGAGCGGCCGCACTCCCTCTAGGGCACACTCTTGAAATGAACGGTGGGCACATCTGCGCCTTTAGTGAGATCACTAAAAACTAGCGTACACGGTAGGATGGGCAAGAAACATTTTACCACCAAAAGGAGGAAGCACGTTAAATAAAGAGTATGTATCTTTTTTGGGAGGTGGTCCAGAGTCCTAATTGTCATTTCTTTAAAGGACCAAGTTAACTCTTTTAGGAATATCATAAAACCTCCATGGAGAGTTCACGTGTCTCAATGGAATCATATGGGGCAACTCGGAAGTCATAAAAGTGTCAAACTAATTTTATTCGAGTGCTTGTGAAGACAGGTTGGTGATCACTAAAGTCTAATTTTGATCCTTTGTGACGGCTTTCAACAAGTTAGACGGCCAACCACTACCTGCAGAAAGACTGTTACACCATTGTCAATACCTAAGATTGCATAAGAAGGCATCACAAGCACTTATAGCTTCTTGCCAGCTACTGGCTTATTGGAACGACTTTGAGTGGAACGCTCTCAAGTGTGTATATATGTGTGGTTGCGATATTTTATGTAATCTTTTTGTCTCTCTTTCAGTACCCTTTTTGTAACCTCAGTTCCAGGGTGCATACCAGATACTATCTTCTAGCTAACTTCCTGTCTTCATCTCTTTTTCTTCTCTTCTTGAAGCGTCCTCTGATTAGGTTAGCGCTAAAGCCAGTCGCGAGGACGATATTATATCAGGTTTTAAGGCATTCATGATGTTCGATATTTTGTAAAGTGTTTTGGTGACGGCCATGTAGTAAAGACAAGAGATGCAACCTTCCGGGGCGATATTGTAATTTCCTAAATGCTGCATGTACAGCGGTATGCCGAGAAGCACAAAACAGAAATTGTAATCTTGAAAGATGAACTTGTCGGCTAGTTGGTTGCTGATAACGTAGGAGAGACAACACGAAATACCAGGACAGAAAAGGTACACATGCAACCCAACGAGTTGCCAGTTAGAACGAGGCGTGGTCGTATGTGTGCCTTTCTTGTCCTGGTATTTGGTGTTGTTTTTCATATGCTACGAAAGTTTGTATTTGCTCCGCAGGGTGAGCAAGTGAAGCGCTCATGACTTCATGGATGCGAGAGTTCAAACATATCTTTCAGTGGAGATAGGGAAAAAAATAAAAACGTATCGAGAGTCATGCATCTTTTCACAAACTGGGTTAAAGCGTTGCAACTGTGTAAGAAGAAAGCAGCGACTATTGTCGCTCGAGCGAAACTGCAATGTATACTTGCGGCAGGTGAATAGATCCAATTGAAACCTCAACAGTGCGTGGCACGTGTGAGCCGTGTGGAGTATTTTTGCTCCTGCCATTGCAGGGGCAAGAAAGACCCTTTACCTCGCTTTGGGCAAAGGTGAGTGTTCTAACATTTGGTAGCAGTACGCGAAAAGCATTGAATACTTATAAGAGGGATGTCCTTGTGCTGTCCTTATGGAAAAGTTGCTTTTCGTAATACGTACGCAACCACATCTGTGATGATATTTGTCTTAAATACAAGTATGGAGTTCATTTCTTGTACAGAGGTGGCTTATTGTTCGTCCAGAATAAAGTACAGTGTACTCTAAATCGTCGAACGTTTGCTCCAAACACAGTTCCTTTTCGTAATACGTACGCCGCCACTGGAATTACAAGGTCAAGCCTTATCATGTGTCATCTGCGATTACCGCATTTTAATGCTTAATTTACCATCAAGCACGTTCTTGTTGAATTTTTTTTTGAGACATAAGAGCAGACTTGGGTGAGGTAGTACGAGTGTTCGATCCTTAATACGTCACTTCAATGGGACACCTAGGTTGAACGACACATTGTTGGTTATAAAGAATAGGAATATTTTTGATATCGTAACGAACCATTTAAATACTTGTACTGCCGCTCAAAATCGGTGGGGCTTAGAAATTAGTCTGCAGTGAAACTTCATGAAAAATAAAAGGTTATCAAAAATGAAAGACCAGCCTACTTGAAAGTCGAAGACCCATTCTTACTGCGATAATCTTTTCTTACGCTATACAGAAGGGGTCAGCAAATTTAAACCAGGGCAAACGCCCATATCAAGCTGCTAGAAGGCCACTTTTGCTCTAGACCTCACATTTTGTATTCCTTATAAGGACATAATGCCAAATCATCGGTTTATGTCGATGCCTTCATGTTTATATCTATGCCCAAAAGTGTTAAAAAGAGCCAATAGTAAGGAGCTAGGACAGTTGAATATTCAGTAATTGACGCGATAGTTTGGGGTATTTCGGAGCAAAGGGAAAGCACTTGTCCTTTTCTTTTGAGCATGCTCAGTTTTGATACCAGTTTCGAGCTTGCTAATATTCACCCTATCTTATTTCGAAGCAAACACTATCTGCTAAAAAAATTGTAAACGTTCCATTAATATTCTGCGTTTAGTGAACCATATCTACGGAACGACGCTCTTATATTTAGTATATTTAGCGATAGTAGGGGGAAAAACTTGCGGAGCTATCGGACTGAATCTGTAGCGTTGTATCTGGGTTTGGTCGCCAGGGCTTTTGTCGAGCAAGCAAGTCCAAAAGCAGACATTTTTCTTCCAGCTGGTAGCTTGCAGGATCTGCGAGTCAGGGCATTGTTTTCGAGAACAATACGTCAACAGCAGCACAGCTGCTGAAACTTCTTTGTCGGTACCCTTTGTCTCGCAAAACGGCGAAATAACAGCGTTGTGACATAGGTGCTTTTGACATGGCTTGTGTGTTGTGATGACCAGTGACGGCACAGAATTGTTGAAAGCCTTATTCCTCTCATAGTAATAGGTAGTGAATAGCCAGGGCACCGATCTCATACCTGGAAGTGGAACCATACGCCACGTCTCAGAGTATCACGCCGTAGTCACGAAAACTAGCAAAAAATAAGAAACTTTTCAGTTTTATTTGAAGGCCGTACAAATCTTTACTGACAATGTGCGAGACGTTGTTACCTCCTAATTTTCTCCTCTTTATGTGGACGCCCCCTGTACAGGGGGGCGTTATAAACTGTCGTACTTTCTCGAAGACCAGACTGAAACAGCTTTCTTAAAGTAAAATAGCCAATAAAAGAATATGTCTACTTAGCACAGGTAGAGAAATATAAACAGGTAAAGAAATATGTCTGCTTAGGACAGGAAGAAATCGTGGAGCCGAACCATGAGAGTGATGTAACTAGAAGAATAAAGATGAGGTGGATAACATCCGGCAAGCATTTTCAAATCATGAATGGTAATCTGCCACTCACTCTCAAAAGGAAGGTATATAAGAGCTGCATCTTGCCAGTACTTACCTATAGAGTAGAAATCTCCAGGTTTACAGAAAGGGTTCAACTTAAATTGAGGACGATGCAGCGAGCGATAGAAAGGAAGGTGATTGGTGTCATGTAACCTTTTAAGACAAGAAGAGAGCAGAGTGGGTCAGGGAACAAACCGGGGTTAAGAATGTTATAGTTGCAATCAAGAAGAAGAAACGAACAGGGGCCGGGCACGTAGCACGTAGACAGGATAGCCGCTGGTAATTAAGGGTAACTGACCCAGATGAGGTCAACGCACTAGAGGGAGACAGAAAGTGAGATGGGCCGATGAGATTAAACGTTCGCGGGTAGAACGTGGTAACGGAAAGCAGAAGACGCGATTGATTGGCGGATCATGGGAGATACCCTTGCCTTTTAGTGGGCGTAGTCAGGCTGCTGATGAGGATGATAATGAAGTGATCGATACTCCAAACTAGTAAAAAGCTACAGTGAGGTCAGTGTACAGATAAGAAGGATTCACACAGTCAGGGTACTTACCACTTTTATGACGAAAAAACGTCTTTTCTCTGAAACATCTCTCTTTCATTTGTTAGGTGCTAATGTTTGTTAAACAAGGAGATTCGTCAGTTTTCATGACTGTGATCATGTCTGTACCATGTTTATGTGGTGGGGTCCTTATGTTTCTCTCTAATGAGGCCCACAAGGCCACCGTTTGAGGAATATTCTTCAACTAATAGCTGGAGATAGTCAGGGAACATAAAGCTAAGACTCATTAGACTCATGCAATACTATTCGTAAGGATAATGGCATCGAAGACTTCTCTATGCTAGCAATATAATAGTTTGTCTCATGAAGCATCTTCTGGGCAAAAGGGCCACTGTAAAGATTATGAAGACAAGAAAGTTTTCACCCACTGTTCTGGCTACATTCAAGATTCGCATAGGGTTGTTCGAAAATGAAAAGGAGGCTCCGTAGTTCACAACTTATTTGGACAGTGACTAGAACGTGGTACCACCATACTGGTTAGCTAAAAAATCAGCTAGCCGATGTTACCTGAGCAGAATTGATCGCTATCTAATCATGAGGCTTCCAGGGGAATCCTCTAGCTGATGTCTCCCTTGTCAACCATAAAGTATACACCATCAGTCAAACATTCTTTGACAAAAATATTCGCAAAACACGTCTTGGCATTGCTATTGGAAAACTTGTTGTGCTAGTCTCACTGTTTCATACAGCTGCTACTGATATGAAAAAAGCATGATCAACTTTGCGTCGGGAATTTCTTACCGTCCTATATGGTCCCATATCTCATATTGACCATGAAGCCATATGACACAGATGACCTGCTTGCTTGTTTATGCACACAGGAAAGTCCTACGCTTCCACACAACACATAAATAAGGACGCCATATGGTGCTTTTGTTACGATGTTCATGTTCTTGTAAGACCTCTGCGTGTGACATGATTGAAAATGGGGTCCTCCTTTTTTGTGACTTGTCTCTCTCTCTCTCTCTCTCTCTCTCTCTCTCTCACACACACACACGCACACACACACACACACACACCGCACACAAACACACACACACACACGCAAACAAACACACAAAAACACACACCACACACACACACACACACACACACACACACACACACACACACACACACACACACACACACACACACACACACACGAGTAAATGGCTTTCTCGGTCTGCCGTTGCTTCTAAACGTGTACTAGTTGTTTGTAACTCCGACTTTACCTTAAAATATTGCCTTATATGGTCGGCCTCAAGGGGCAATAAGATTTCTCCAAGAAGCTGTACTATTCGGCTGCATTCGAGCGCGTTTGTTTCCATATGAATATCTACGGGCATTCCCAGACGGAGTGCGACAGTTTATTATTAGTCCGCTCAAGGCCACTCCACTCTGTCAACGTCTTTCTTTCCAGTCCGTCTCAATGCTCACAAAAGCAGTCTCGCAAGGACCACGTTCCGGGCTTTAGTTTTCTTAGGAACCCTACCTCAGCCAAAGGAACCACCTGCGAACAAATCCAGTTACTGATTCGACTATAAGGATGAAGAGAATAAGAATGGTCTGGTATTGGTTGCTGTCCCTACCACTACTACTAGGTAAGTGAACAGTATCCATCGCTCGCGAGCTTTCAAAAAACTGTTAGTTTTGCTGCTGAGATAGTAATACGGTTTTAGCTGTTCATATTTAGGTGTTCTATCATAGCAGGGCCTACGTCCAGGGTAAGTTTAAGCCCGCAAATTTAAAGGTCCGTGGAGGCAAACATTTCGACTAGGTGCCGTCAAGACGCTGTCCTTAACGCCATTTTCTGTTCGACGAGTCTTCATCTTCTAAAAGCAAAATGATTCAAAACATCATGCCTGCTGCGCGAATAACAGGGCCAACTCAATCCACGCCATTACGTTGCGTATTATTTGTAAATGAAGTCAATTGCCCATCATTTTACGACACGTAGGTCATGGGCGATCTTATGTATTGCGCATTTCTAGAGTTATCTTAGCTGAAGTGTCACTGATGGAATTTTTTTCTGGCATAAACGACATTATGTGTTTTGTAGTTATATTATAACATGCTTTAAACACCTGGTCCCAAAAATACACCCAGCTTTTTTCAGAAAAGAGGGGCGCGTATTGCTTTCATTAATAAGTCTACATCTGCTAAAGAATAGTTTTTATATAGGTTAATGGTAATTCATGATGCCGTCAGAGACTGTGATGATGATTTATAATGTGATTAAGACGTAATAATAATAATATTTGGGCAGTTATATGTTTATTTACAATAAAATGCCTTGACATGTGATTTATCATGGATAAACTTAAGCTTAAGCATTAAGAGACAGGTGTGGATGCGAAAACATGTTCTAAATAACAGTAATATCCTAATCAATCTTTTAACTGATGAGTTTACTAGTGTACGCCGAGACAATGCAAGCCTCGATTCCATCGTCTCTGTGAAAACTTGTGAGCTTTTAAATAGGTTAACGCAATTACGTTCTAACCTGTTTCGTTTGTTTATCCTCAGGAGCAGTGGTACTAGGCAATGTTGCGGATGCCAACCTCAAAGCATTAGGCATCAACTCGGTTAGCAATCCAGGCACCAACCAGGGCATCAACACTGGCATCCATCAAGGCATAAATCCGGGCATACATTCGGGTACCACCACAGGTTATGCGCCAGGGATTACAAGTGCCACCCTCGGCAATTCGTCCAGTATTGAAAGGAGGTGGAAATGCCATAGGCTAGGCAAACTTGTGAGTGCATCAGCTGTTACCATTGGTGCATTTTACAGCAGAACGATATATGTCTGGATCCATGCATGTGTTTTTTTCACTGCGCGCTGACATTCACTTAGAATAATAGGTATACAAATAACCTACTGACACACTATCCCGGACAGTATGAGAATTTGGCTGCAGCCTATATTTATTTCTTTCTACCGAAAATACTTTTTATAAGCACAAATCACCGCGTTCTCTCTCCATTGCAGTGACTTTTCGAGTATCTGCTCATGTAAGCGACGGCCGCTATTAGTTCTATTGGCGTAGGAAAATGTAGACGACTAAACGCTGGCACTGTATATTTAGTTGTTGAAGGCTCTTCAACCTTTCAACTTATGCATTCCTTTGTAAAGCATCGCGTTTCACAAGTGTCATTCCTACTACAAAGCTTAAATGTAGCGATGGTAAATATTTCGGGTTAATTGATTTAGTTGTTCGGGTGGCTGAATAAAGATGGTGTAAATCAAACCCAGCGTTCAGAGGGTTAAAATTATATTCCAATTGCACCTGATCGTGATCGAAAGTGACCATGTAACACCGGCATTATATTTGTAATCTGGTACAAGTGTTGAGCGTGAAGATGACGAGTTAACAAATGCGTTGGTGTGAAGTATGGGTGATTCTAATTAGACGCACAGGGGCAGTTTACTAGAGTTCTCACAGGAAAGCTCGACCTTCGAATTCACAATTTCAGTAACTGAACGATTCTTCTTTATTTATATTAAATAAATGTCAATATAAAAAATATTAGTGTCAGGTGGTGGCTATTGTGTCATTCAGCACCGGCACATGAAACACATCTTTTATCAGACTAAAACCTATGTTTAGTGCTCATAGTTGAAGGCTAAAGTCAAGCGTAACAATTAGCTCCTATCGTCAGAGAAACAAGTCTTTGCAAAAAAAAAAAACTGCCACTAGTACCTTTGTAGCCTGACCTCCGTATTCATTTTTCCCTTTGATTCACCAGTCGACAAGTGCCACACCAAATCCGAGATGCTGGTTCTACTGTTTCGACGAATCCTTGTATCGAATCTACCGGTTACCAGAGGCTAATGGAACACCATGCTGGGTAAAGTCTGTTTTTACGTTGCGAACATTTGGTGTCAATGTTAGGCTCACTGGCCGCAACCTACAGCGGCCGCTGTGATACACCATGCCCATTTTATGACGCCACGTTACGATATGTGACAACGATCCATTTTCTGTGGACTAGCCCAGGAGTCATTTACACCATGTTCAGATCTTCCATACGATCAGCCTGCATCCTGGTCGACCAACCAACTGTGAACGCTGCACACACGGACTTACTTATTGTTACTACGAGAACTAGACATCAATGACTTTATTCATGTATACTTGACACCCTTTTCCACAGTGCCTGGGTTAAGCATTCGAAAAAACTTACCAATAAAAATACAGTCTTCAGAGGTTTCGCAAGTATACATAGCCTCCATTGTTTCCAAGAAGGGCTCCTGAACTTCTGCTATACGCACATTGTGAGAAAGCTACCCACCTTATTGAGCTGCTGTCGCACGATAAACATCATTAAACAATTACTCAGCCATAGTCCAAGAAATGGTGCGGCAGCAAAGTTATTTGTTCAGATAACAGAGAAAATTAGTTCTTACTCTATTGTTTACCAGAACATACACATGGTGTGGCATTGTTCCCATATTTTTTTTTCCAAAATATCAGACGTTGAAAATTTTAACACCTACTGTGAGATCTTAGCGCAGCCAGCTGTGCTGGTAATGTAAAGAGCCACTTAGGGGTGGTACTTAAAATAACAATTTGAACTTGAAATGACCGTGATGCACTACTTGCTCTAGAGCCGCTGCAAGTCAGCAAGCATTTGAGTTTCCGCTTGTGCATCAATTGATGGTTCGTTGCATGTATTATCCAGCCATGGCTGTCGCCTGCATTCTTTGCTCTTGTGTATTATTCGACTTAACTAGAATATTATCTGAATTTTCGCAGTAGTGTCATCAGGGAAAGCCATGTCACAAGTGAAAGCACTAATTATGTGAAAACAAGGATCGAGGTGGTCCCTGTCTGTGCTCGTGAGGCTTAAACTACAATCCTTTATTTTACCTCTTCCAGATAGCGTCACCACTTTCCGCCAACCGGGTGCACGGATATTGGGAGGGCACGAGATATACAAGAGGCGTTTAGAAAGCCTCGTGTTCGTGCGTTGGTAGCGCAGTGGTTGAATCATACGACGTATACCGTTGCGAACAGAAAGGTTGCAGTTTCTGTCTTCAAGGTCTTCCAAATTAGCGAAACTACTTCTGCTTTTTCTTCGTAATCTGCTAGTGTGTATTTTATGACACCATACGCTTTCGTGAGAAAATCTCATATTCAATATGCCGTACTGTTAATCTGTGCTCTCATCTAAGAACAATGACTCAAAGTTAACTTGTTCGCCATCGTGTATTGCTGCAGAAAATACATCTGGCGATGGCATCTTCAGGCCTTTAATTTGACGGCATCGCTTGGACTTCATTAGTCCTCCTCACTTATTTGAACATATCGAGAGCGGATTTCCTCATAGTTTTTAGGTTATCTCAATATTTAGACTTGCAAGGTAGAAACAATTTTATTGAGCCATTGTGAACGGAACATGAGAAAATATTTTCAAACTTGTAAGGTCACACTCACATTCAAGTGACCGAAATAACAAAATATGACGCACATTTTCTTCTCTAATATCGCACCTTTGATCGCAAGTTGAACGTAAGTGCCTTTTCTGATGAATAAGTTCTCAGTTCTAGGTAAACTAGCTTTTCACTAAATGTCCCTTTACCTATGAAGGTGCTTGGAATACGTTCTCTATCGGTTGAATATGCATGCGTCATTATCAGTTCTGAAAAATAGTAGTCCTAAATAACAAACAAAGTTGAAATTTTTGAAAAGTGATTTTCTCAGTAAAATCCACCTCGAAAGGCAAATATGATTTCACCCTTAACTTGCGCACTAATTGCATTTCTCGGGACTAAAAATAAAGTTCCTACATTCATCCACCATCTTGTCAAGTGCCTTGTCATCCACCACCATGCCTGCGAATGCATGCAGTTTTAACATGACGAGAACACGGAAGTTTCAAGACTTGTCATTTTAATAACTTATATTGTTTTACGAACGTATTTGTTCCACAAATACGTATACCGGCCCCGAATGTGACCCGCTTTAAAGGGACACTACGAGAAAAATAACAATCATGTTAGTAAGCTACGTACCCCTCCGCAAGATAGAAAACACACATTTCCCCTAAATACTCCCAGTACGCCAAATATTGAGCCCCCCCCCCCCCCCCCAAAAGAAAATGATTGGCGACACCACCTTGGTGTTCGCGCCATAAGCGTAGTGGGATAGGTTTGGGTGTGCATAAGCTAAGCGATAAAAACAATTGCACTAAATATTAGGAAAGCCAAAGGCTTACTATCGCAAGCATTACGGTGACATAGAGGACACCTTTATAAGTGGTGCCCTCTTTCGGTGGCAGCAATGGCATGCGGCCAAACTGAATGAGGAATAGGCAGAAAAAGATTGTATTTTACAAAAAAAGCTAGTTACTAAAAAGGACTACCTGTTTCACGAAAAAGGAAACCAACAGGAATGTTTTGGTGAAATTGAAATATCGCGCTAGAAATGACATGTTGTTTACAGAGATATTAACAATGCTGTTTAGAGAAATTAACAATGTCCACACATGTGGAAGCACGGTAAAACACTCAGCCAAACCTTCCGATTTGTATCTCGACCCTGCTAATTTTACCAGAATGTCACAGTGGATCTGTGTTGTTTAGATCATGTGTCTCTTCTGGCATGGAGTTTCCTAAATATACACTACAGGGAACTCTGGCGCTAGTATCTATGGCAGATGCAACGCATGACGCTTCAGCGTGATTATGGTAATGATGGGTAGTACACGAACTTGTCTAATCTTCGTACTTCCGGCTCCGTGCTCGTTCGTGTGGCTTGTAGCTGCTTTCTCACGAAACAAAAATCAGCGAATAATTAGCGGTTCCGCATCACCACCTTATATATTTTAGGCTTGCCATGTCAAATCGGGTCACGAAGTTGAGAAGGGTTCATTCTTTTTTTTTTTTGAAACAAAACCGAAACACAGCAATCAATCAAGCCACAAGTGCGATTCGCTGCTCGCAAGTACGAAGACTACGCGAATCCGTGTACTACCCATCATTATCATGGCCGTTGAATGATCGCAGTGCCATAGTCGCCTCAAGGTAATTTTGGGAAATTCTTTGCTTTCTGGCAACTACCTTTTCTAATCAGATATGTTTTTTTTTCTGTCTACTCACCTTCATTTATGGCGGAACGCCAGTGCCACTGGCGAGAGATGGCACCACATGCACATACCTGCAAATATTGGTGATGCTTTAGAATACTTTACTGAGGCATGTGATATTACGGAATCACAAAAACAGGGGGAAAGGGGGGAAGAAAGGTAAGAAGATATTTTCATACTGCTAGTGTAACATCGAGATTCAAGTGTTATAGCCTCTAACCATATATTCAAAAAAAAAACCTTGAACATGCTTTTTCTTGTACTAAACCAATATGTCAAAAATTCATTCAAAGTGGGTTCTGACACAGAAATTCGCTGGCCTAACTAACTTAGAAATAAATTCTACAGCCAGTTGCAACCACCCGCGGTACTGCCACGGGCATATCATTCATCTGTGTATAAAACATGCTAGATAGTTGTCATTGTAACCATACGTGTTTTATATAAACACGTATGTCGATATAAACACTATGCATAATAATAGCCAATAGTTCTCAATTCTACGTAAAGCATCATATCTCCTGAAGAAGTGATATCAGAATATTAGCTGAAGTTTGCCAGAAGTTGAATCTTCTCGAACGAAAACAAGCCACACAATCATGCGTCTTCGATAGAAATGTCAGCGACCTGGAATGAGTGAAAAGAGTCTGTCGTCAGGAAAATGAACGAGCGTGCATTGCATGAGAACATCTATGCAAACTTTCTCTAGGTGAGAAAGCGATGGAATGTTGGGCGAGTACTTTACTTATTCTCAAGTTTTAACACAGTTAGAGTGTTACTTTGACCAGCGTGCTAGCGCAACAGAAGAATTTTCATTTATCTCTCTCATGTTCGCAGGTGGACAGGAACTACCCGAAAGGAACTTGCAGATATTCGCGTTGTAGGCAGCCCAACATGAAAAAAAGATGGTGGTTTGGCAAATTGTTCGGCAGGAGACCCAAGGATTCCATGAAATAAACACGAGAAACAACATGCACTTTCACAACTTTTCAACCGAGTCTTGTCACACGTGGCTGAATTTTGTCATGCGTAGAGCAGATATATGCCAAAATATGTCTTGTACACCTTACCAGAAAACGTTAAAAATGATCTATATATACAAAATGTCTTCAGATGGTTTTTAAACGCAGTCAACGTGGATGTTTGTTAACAATTTTACGACTTGAAGTCTGACCACATTAGTGAGTCGCTGTGTTCATTTCACAGAGATGGACCTAAACAAAGAATGCAACGACCAAAAACCGTAATCACAAGTTAATTTGCATTGGTCTAGTGTGACGTAAAGACGTAGTGTTTCTCTTTTTTTTTTCTTTTGACTCACATTGATCTCCTCCCCCCTCCGAAGTGTGTGTTCATAGAACGTTGGTTTGCACTTCCTTCACGATGGCAGTCATGACAGGAGTGCTACAACTGTAATAGTTTTGCACGGCCTCCGTGGTAAGCCCACCTTTAACGAAGCAATGATGTCAAGTGACGACGTCATCGTGGCACTTCACGTCACTAGACGTCATAGTCATTTCATGTTGACGTCATGACGTTATGATACACTTTTGCGTCACTCGAACTGACACCGACGTCACCGGTGGTCAATTTTCTCACTTGATGAGGCCTGGAAACCTTTCGTTCTAATGGTGTATATCAAGACAAAATGGAAATGAGCCATGAACTAAATGAAGAATACAGGGACCACAAACAATATACAGTAATAAAAGAAAATCGTGCGTCTGGACGTGTGTGTGCATGTGTTATTTCAAGGCTCAAGTCTTTACACTAGATTCAACCAAACTTCTAATACAGAGACATTTTACACTATTCTGGGACAGCCCTACGTGCGTCTTCCTTTGAGGACTTCAGTAGGGCAAGACATCAAACAGAACGTTGATATATTAGATGGTCGTTTTAATTAAAAGTGGCTTGAACATCAGGAAAGCCATGCAAGTCTCACACGAGGTCCTGCTGCATAGAATAAAGGTGCGGCCATTCCTGCCTGATCCGCACCCTGGGCTAGATGCTAAACAGGTTTAGCTATGATGGACAATAGAATGTGACAATTCTCTCAAATTGTAGTCATAGCGGCCGGACGTCTTGTGTACTCGACTAGACAGCAGCTATCTGCCCGAATTTTGTAGCAAAGGTGAATGAGTGTGACGAAATGAAGAGAGTTTCATTTTAAAACGAAACTGGAAAGTGAATTTAAATCATTGGAACCAAGTAAAGAACAGCCGGAGCAATCAGTAAGCAGCAACTTTCAAACGTAAGCCCTAATAAATATCACGCACTAGATCAAATGGGGGCGAAGATATAATTAAGCACACCCATCAGCCAAGACCTTAGAGAGAAGAAAGTATTTACTAATGCACACTATAAGAATGATTCACTGTGCCACTAAGTTTTGTGTTGCAAGACCAATAAAAAAGTTTTGCCAAAGCAAAGTCTCACCTAAATAATATAAATCAGTGAGCTCTATGATCCTAAAAGACACAAAACCACCCTATAATATAGCTTCAGCTGAAAACTTCGTCTTACTTTGCGTGAAAAATTTTAAATATTTGATCCCACGTCCTTACTCGTGTTGCAATTTTTAATAGAACGTTTGGTCAAGAGTCACTAACATTTTTAGTATGCAACATTATTTTGACAGCTGCAGCAGATGCGCATACTTTTGCGTTTTTGTAATATATTTGTGTTTCATCGGGATTTCCTCTAAGTGAAAGTATGTGTTTTAAAGGTCCCCAAGACATTCACATATTGATGGCGTAAGGGCTGTTATCGGTCATTCATGTACTGTGCAGTGTTTAGAAGCTTCATTCATGTTTTTGCCGGGCTGCTCGCCAAAAATAAAGGAAAATTGAAATTCAAATAACGGAATGTTTAAAATAAAGATACACTAACTTATATGGGCGCAATGCTAGACTACACATTTTGTGAACTGAAAGTACAGAGAATGCCCGCTATCCGGAAAATGCGAATGACATCATTAAAGCCTTGTGGCTGTGCGCATTATTACAAAAAAATGTCGAATACACCGCGAAGGAACTATACTTGAAGTAAACTGTGGTCTTTCTTTTGGCACCAAACTCGAAAGTCCGTGCACGCTTTGCGGCAAGGAAAGGGCGAGGAACCTTACAAATATGAGTGGGCATGGTCGAGCAGCAGCTATGCAGTCGACTAAGAACCCGTTTTTTCTTCTACTCCAGTTGCTGACGATGCTGGCTTCCGCCCCCTGCAAAGAAGCTCTAACGGACGGCTTTCACCTACCTTCGAAGGGCGCTTCCAACTGGAACGACACGGCGAGGTTCTCTTCGTGGTGCCTCGCGTCACGGGTGCATGTTGTTCAGGGCGGACCGCCAACGCTTCTGCAGTCTTCTTCTTCGGCTTGGAATCATGCTTGGCAGTGCCCCGTGTTTGATAGCACAACAAGCCTGCCTGTTGTCACTCCGATAATCTCCGAATGCTCATCAGCATCGTCATCACCCAGCCACAAGTTTATAAGCAGCCGTCATCCCCCGCGCGACTTCAGTGGGCATGGTCGAGCAGCAGCTATGCAGTCGACTAAGAACCCGTTTTTTCTTCTACTCCAGGTTGGTAAATTTCACTCATGCCACTCTAAAAAGTCAAACAACCTGTGTCTGCTGCTTGTACCATGCCCAAGTGTACTTTTTTTATGTATTTGCGAATGTGTTCATGTTGTGAAACTATTGCTTTTGAGTGGTGACGTCGAATCCAATCCAGGTCCCAATAATTCTTCTAGTCTTCCTGATGAGCTGGCTGAAGTCGTGAAGGCAATTAATGCGCACGTTGACGCACGCCATAAAGAATTAAAAACAGTTCTTGATGAATTGAAGTCCAGTCAGGCGATTTTGGAGCAAACTGTGTCAGATATTAACTCAAGATTGGTTGCTGTAGAAGCTCGTGTAAATTCCTTCGACAAAATGTCTCCAAGTAACCTGCAGCAAACTATAAGTGATACTGTTCGTGGGGCGAACGCTGAATTACGTTCACGCCTAGATGATTTCGAGGATAGGTCACGGCGAGAAAACCTTCTATTCTTCGGAATACCTGATGCTGCAGCCGAAACATGGTCGCAGTCCGAAGATAAGGTTCGCGAGATTATGTCCACTCTAGGTCTCCAACTGCCGACCGATGCCATTTCACGTGCGCATAGGCTTGGTTCATACGCAAATAAGAAGTGCCGTCCTGTAATTGTAAAGCTTTCTAATTTTAAGGTTAAGGAAAGCATTATGGCAAATAAGGCCAAATTAAAAGGTATCGGTGTCAGCTTAAGTGAAGATTTTTGCAAAGAAACTAGGAACACGCGTAAAAAATTGTACGAGTACGGAAAGTCGACTGGTCAACAGTTTGCAGTGCGTTACAACAAGTTATTCATTAACAAAAAATGCTTCGTTTACTGCAGTCAAACCGACAGCGTTTGTGAACTTACCCGTGAATTTACTTCTTCACTTTCCCCTTCAAGTACCAATATTCCTAGCAGTGTTCTTCCCTCTTCCTAGCAATCCCAACCTACTAAACGTGCCACAACACCTGAACCAGTTTCAGTCTTGTTTACAAATATTAGAAGTGTGCTAAGTAAACGTGACGAGTTATCTTCTATAATTGATGACTGTTCTGCGGACATAGTAGTGTTAACGGAAACTTGGTTGTCAAGTAAAATTCGCAACACTGAGGTTTTACACTGCAAAAACACCTACAATTTTTACAGATCAGATCGAATAACAAGAACAGGGGGCGGTGTTCTTATCGCGATATCAGATAGATTTTCCTCTCATATTGTTCCCATAAGTTCGCCACTAGAAATCGTATGCGCGTGCGTTCGATTTGCGTATCAGGACGTGATTTTGTGCGTTTGCTACCGACCGCCTCGCTGCCCCTCAGACTTTTGCGAAAACTTCCATGACTGTTTGCACGCAGTTTCTGTCAGGTACCCAAATTCTCATATATTTGTCATGGGCGATTTTAATTTCCCAGAAGTTACTTGGGGCAGTGGGGATGGAACGGCTAGCTGTCTTTCAGCGGAAGGTAATTGCTTTTTAAACATATGCAATGATTTTAATTTAACCCAAGTAATCCATGAACCCACGCGCATCACAGCATTTTCTTCAAATATACTTGATTTGGTTTTCACAACTAATCCTTCGGTCATTTCATCGATTCACTACCTACCCGGGCTTAGTGATCATCGCATTGTACACTTCACCTGCGCAATGCAACCACAGCGTCCTATGCACGCAACTAAAGTTATAAAAGATTATGCGAAAGCTGATTATGCATCTATATGTACTGAGTTGGAAGTTTTCACTGAAAAATACATTGCATGTGCCGCTGATAATACTGTAGAGGAGAACTGGGTATCGTTCAAAAATAAGTTTAATTCACTTATAGATTGTTATGTTCCTTTACGAACTGTTCGAACGGCGTTCCGCTCTCCGTGGTTCACATCAGCACTTCTTCGCTTACGTAATAAAAAAAAACGACTTTACCGCAGCGCTTCATCATCTGACACCACGGAGAGATGGGCGGCTTATCACAACGCAACATTAGAATACAAAAAAGCTTATGCAGTTGCTAAACATAGTTTCTTCAGCGATACCCTTCCCTCTCTTCTACAGTCTAACCCTCGTAAGTTTTGGTGTCTAGTAAATGGTCCAAAAAATAAGAACATTGATCTTTGTGACGAACTTGGTTTGGCGATTGCAAGTGACAGGTGCTGCGAGGCTTTGCAAGACGTATTTAAAAAATCATTTTCCGTTGACAACTCCAATCATTTACCAATTCAAGCCGATCCTGGATATCCCCGAATGGAACCAATCATCATTGATCAATTGGGGCTATTTCACCTCATATTAAAAATGAAAGCCTCGGCACCTGGCATAGATGGAATCGCTCCCCAATTTCTCAAACAAACTGCCACTTATTGTTCAGTCATTTTTTCACAGCTCTTTTCACAGTCATTACAAAATGCCTCATTGCCCAGT